ACAGTACGGTCGGTTACCTTAGTGCTCGCGACGGCCCGTGGCAGGAGATCGGCCTTCCTGGGCCGTGTATGCGGTAGTTACTGGCACCGCCTCGGGCTAGTCGATCCATGTCACATACCATCGGAGAGGTTTATGCTAAGAAGTGTGCAGGAAGTCACGGCGGCGTGGGCCACGCCTTACACTGGGGTGCTGAGAGATCCTGGCAACAGGGAGTTCTTGCCATGAAGGCTTGGGACGGGCTCTTTGGCAGTCTACCTCATCCTTGGGACCAGGTCGAACCCAATATGATATGTCTTGCCTTCAAATCGAGCGTTGACACGTAGTATCCTCGTTACTCACGCGGTCACCATCTAAGGCAGGCTTGCAATGGCATTGATGGTACGTTCTCTCCAGGGTTTGTTCACGAGGTACTGTACGGCTACAACACCCAGAGCCACCCTGGCTCATAGCCGCTCGACAGCCACTCAAGCAGCCGGTCGATGCCCAGCGCATGAATCCGCGGACACGAGTATCGAAAGCAGAAAACCAATTGACCAAGTACAGACCCTACCGAAGCAAGCCCACACGGACCAGACACTCTTCTAGGAAGAATAACGCCGATGCGATCCCACGAACGTGACAAGCAAAAAGACATCGATTAGTTAGGCAGTCAGACCGGGAACGGGAAAAGGACGGGGGGTATCGCCCCGATCTCCGGTGACCATGTACTGTACATGCCCCGATATTTCAAATCATCTACATGGATGAAAACGAGAATTTGTTGCACACGAAAAAGGGGGGCGACTGACAAGGATGAGAGGACGTACTTTCACGCGTTAACACGAAACCGTGCCAAGCTCGCGGAAGCGGCACACGCCTCGGATACATTCCTTCGGCCAGGCAAAAAGTCAATGTCGGTGTTAAGCTTTAGAGTTTGCTCGGAGGAGTCGGAGACAGTGTACTCATTGAGGAATGGCTCTTCGGATTTAGCTTTCTGGGAGGAGACTAGCCTGGATGTGGTATGATTCCAGGAACGATATCGGGGGTGCAGGGGAAAATGAGATCCCGGGTTTGAGATTTTAATATTGCTAGGTGTTGGGTTTACAGGAACATACTCGATGGATGGGTTGTTGTTACATGGATAGTGCGTAGTTGACACAGCCGAATGTTAGAGTGTGATTTGAGTTTGTACAAAGTAGATATTGTGGAGGGTTCAGGTATTAAGGGTCAAGCAGAAGGTCAATCTATCTATATAATCAAGGTATAGTACGCAGTTATATTTCAGATGCACGGGATCGGACATCGGCCCCCAGATCTGTCAATATGCGCGGCGGATACAGTCATTACAAATATCCATTAGTGATTCTGAAATAATATCTCGCATTGATGAGCTGGCGCTACAGGGATACCATGAAGCTATTTGACTCTAACCCACGCCGTTGACGCCATCTTATTGCCCTACATCGAAGGAGACAGCGACGCGGCTGCAGTTCGCCAGTTAGAGGGCTTACAGCCGACACTAACCGGGATGTCTCCTTGCTGTCACGGTCCACGGAAGTCTCTCCATGCGGATTACCCACCGCGTCGATGGAAAAGCCTCGTCCCTCGTGCAATTTCAATGAAAGGGAAACCCCAAATCAGACTAGGTAATGAATGCTACACGACCACGCAACAATCCCTGCATCTGCCGATAGGCCACCTCGCGTGCACCCGTATTCCGTATTGTTGAGGGTATTGATGGTACTGTACTATGTGCGATACAGTAGTTGGTATAGCATGTCAAAAATCTTCCACCAACCGCCTAGTCAGCCCAATCACAGCTACCCCGAATCTAAGGTACAGAATGACTGAGCTCAGAAGAAGAATTTAGATCCAGTGCCAGCGGTTCGGGTCTAGTTCTGTTCGTTCATCGGCTCGGCAAAGTACCCGCTGACTAACGGAGCGGAAAGAGAGGAAATCCTCCAGTGGAAGAGAAAAAAGCTCTCACATCCTCCATGATGAGAGGTTCATTTCAGCTGAGGGAGGGGAACCATGACTCAATTGAATGGAAGTGATAGGACGGACCAGATGCTATGCACACGAATGAGAACCTCGGGTCTTCAAGTTTGCTCGGGAACCCGAGCCGAAGAGGGCACAGGATTGTGGTGCAGTGGTCAAACTGTTCAGACCCGCGCGCGCGCTGTGCTGTCACGCGCGCCCGCCAAGCCTGATGAGAGTTTTCTCTCGGGAAAAGAAGCAAGAAAGAAAATTTATCTCCAAGGCTAAAACGGGGACTTGGAGGAGGTTTAGATGGACCTTAAGGCGGGTCCAGATGTTTTTTCTTCCTCTTCTGTTCGTAGAAGTGGGCATCATGGAATGGCTGGGGGAAGAATCCATATCAAGAACTCGATCATGGCAAGGCCAACCAACGCCTCCATGCACTCCGCAAATTGTCCTCTGAAGCGTGAGTCGAGAAATCCCAATGTCGCGCGGCACCAAGAACACGACAACGACCTGCAGTTTATCCTGGTGCCTGGTTCAATTGTGGATTGCATCAGTAGCTCTTAATACAGTACGGCATGTCCGGGCCCTGATGCCTTTTGTGCTCCCTTCATGCTTGCTCTTTTTAGAATGGCAGCTCCGACAGCAAGCAAGCTCGCACCAATAGTAAAACGAGGCGCCGCTACCGAAGTTTCGGTTGCCTTGGGTGGGCTTGGCTTTGCTGGATACAATGGATAATTCCCGCAAGGCGTTTTCTTCCTAACACCGGTCGTATACAATTGTCGCGAAAGGAAGGAAGTGGCTTGGGTTCATCGGAAAATATCTAAAAATTCGCGTTCTGGTGTACGTAGAAGCAGTGATAAACACCAAATGCAAGCACGGGTGGTGAGCTATTCAATTTGGGTAACATCCTCGACTGATGTCTTATGCACAGCTTGCACATCCTGAGCGGAGAGGATGATCGACGCGACTCATGACGGTGGCCCTGAGAGGGTTCCCCATACTTAGATTAAAAGAGGCGAAGGGGAGCATCGAAATTGCCAGGCGTCTCAAAGGGCCGGAAGGTGACAGAAGCCGACAGTTTCGACTCTCGAGTCATCATTACGCTGGTCTGGGCGATTGGAGGCAAAAAAGCTAGGAAGATTACGGGAGGCCGGAGGCAGCGGAGTGGGGTTGTTTTTCTTGCACTGGAAACTGGTGGAGTTGCGAAATTCGTAGAGATCCACATGTTAATGCTCGACGGTACGGGTACAGTGCGGTACCTGAATCGCATGGTTGATGACGGTTTAAAGACTTACTGTGTACAGAGCACGATAGAGACACCAAAGCTACCAGAGAAGAGGAGGTGGAGGAGGAGGAGGAGGTGTAACGCTATCGTACGGATTGATAAATTGGTTCGGAATGCTATACTCATAGGGGACAGACCTCCAGACGCTAGATGCCGCTGAGCAGGGGACGGAAATTGCCATGTTGCGATATCCAACCAACTCCAAGATCTGTCCCTTCCGAGCTGACTATGTCGACATTCCTATAGGAGATCGCGGTCGAGGTGCATTCAAAACCTCCTTTGTCTTGCTCATCTGCTTTGGTGCAAAAATCGCCAACTCTGGGATAAATTAATCGCAGGAGGGTGAACCAGGCAGGTCATGTCTAGAAAGGACAATGCAGTTATTTAGTCGTGTCCTTGGAGCTGAGCTGGCAGCAATCTAATAACCCTTGCGCTAAACACTGGTATCAGGCAATGGCTGACCCCGGGCAATATCACTGCCTGGACGGGTGAGGTCGCAGCACTACTACCTACTAAGTTCCTAAGTTCTTATCTCATGCTGCAGGGGACCAATCACTCATAAGCGTGGTCAGCTGCAGATTGAACCGCCACGTTCCAATAAAGCAGCGTCGAAGAACCGGGGGGGGGAATGCGCCAAGTCGCACGCATCTCTTGGTGCTATTGCTTGTCTGAAGCTTCGCTATCTGATAACGATGGATGACGGCGATCCCCGCGACCTGTCACATAGAGAGGCCGCAAGCGCGTAGGTTCCCGAAGACGTGGGGTAATCGCAGAGTCTGGGGAAGAGATAGGATGGTGCCGTGAGGGCCATGCACTGGAACGGAAGGACTAGAGAATGCTGGACACCCTCAATGAGGGGGTTTGCCCACTACTCCAGATCCCTGTCGCAAACGCATGGAGCCGCGGGCATAGTCTGACGACGGACATGTCTAGTCTTACTAGCACAAGCCATGCGTTGGACCAGCGTATTTTTGTATTGCAGAGGTCCATTAGTCAAGTCACTGAGGATAAGTGCGTGAGTGAGTGGCAAGAATGACCACCCCGGAGAGTAGTCAAGACACATCGGCGATGGCCGAAAACTGAGAAGCATGATATCAGCATGAAGCAGATGCTCACCATGTCTGATGTAGGAGAAGATAAAGACAGAGAGAGGCAAGGCTGATATGGATAGAGGGCAACAGATAAGGACTGGAGGGCAATTTGGCAGCGAGAGGAAGGACCGGCTTCAATGAAGCCCTGGTTTGGCCTCCTCTCATCTGGACCTGACGGTACCTGACCTGTATGTACGAACAAGCAACTAACACCAATACATAACGGACTGTTATCATTATCAAATCACTCAGGGTTAAAGGCCAGATAGTGTGCCTTATTGCCTATCACCAGACGAGGTCTTATCAAGGGGTGGAACTCCTTGCCACAGACCCCACTGTGTAGCAGAGTTTTGCGGGCCAATCCCGCCACGAGGGCTGTTGAATTCTGTAATCCATGTGGTGCTTAAGTCGACCTTCCATCCAATGAAAGAGTTTGTGGCTGAGAATTACACGGCATGATTGGGACAAGGCATAAGCTTGTGCGCACTAGGGCTCAACCAAGACCCATTTGGTTTGGTGGGGCACTACTACACTGGGCATTTCCACCTCTTCTCGAAACCGGTGCACCGTTTTCCATACCACGGGCTCTCACTTGCAACACGCGACACTGAACCTGAATCCACGGGCAGGTCTTTCTTTTTTTTTTTTTTTTTCCCCTAATCTTTTTTCTCCCGTTTCTGTTTTGAGTTACGCGGTCGCGGCGGTATTCCGACTCGGAAGCGATCATTACATCGATCTGGATCCGGTGGGCCTTCGCTCGTCTCGGACTGGTGTGGGCGTAACTGTGTGTGTGTGTGGTGGGTAAGAAATTATTCGCCATGCCTCCGCAGAAAATCACTTATTAGACGCTCTAATCCCACCCCTCCAACAGAGAAAGAAAGAAGAAAGAAAGAAAGATGTGGTCGTCGTTTCGTCTTTCCTCGTCCCTCCCCCTCCCCCCTTGAGTTTATACTCAATACTCGAGCTTTCCAAGCTCTTGTATATACCAATCCCCAGCAACTTCGAGTCTTTAGTACTCAACCCATTCAACCAAACAATCCTACACGCCGTTGAGATATACGCATTAACATCATGTTCGGTGGTATCGACTCGGAACGGGACCTTGAAAAGGCTCCCCAGGTGGCCAAGGCGCCTATGGATGACAGCAGCGATGGCGCTGTCCCTGGGGAAAGCTTTATGTACGGCAACTCGGTCTACGCAAAGCTTCAGCGGCTGGCTGGGAAGTTCAACATTGAACAACGAGGTGTCGAGCGTGTCCCCGAGAACGAACGGACGGATACCTCGTACTTCAACATCAGCAGCATGGTGTGTACCTAGTTTACTGCATTATGCTTTTGTCTTGCTGGCTCTCCGCCGGTGCTCACAAGACCGCCTCCCAAACTGACCCCTCGCAGTGGCTGGCAGCCAACATGGTGGTTAGTTCGTTTGCTATCGGTATTCTGGGACCTGAGAGCTTCGGACTTGGCTTTGTCGACTCCATCCTCGTCTGCCTCTTCTTCAACCTGATCGGTGTCCTGACTGTCTGCTGGTTCTCTTGCTTCGGCCCTGCTTTCGGTCTCCGTCAGATGGTCCTATCCAGATTCTGGTTCGGGTACTGGCCGACAAGATTCAGTAAGAACCCCTCGTCTCTGATCTTCAAACACGGCGTGCTGACCATTTTCCGCGCAGTCGCTCTTCTGAATGTCTTGTCCTGCCTGGGTTGGTCTGCGGCCAACTCCATCGTCGGCGCCCAATTGCTCAATGCAGTCAACAGTGACGTCCCTGGGTTTGCGGGCATTTTGATCATCGCCGTCTGCACCCTCTTCGTCACTTTCGCCGGATACAAGGTCGTTCACTTGTATGAGTTCTACAGTTGGATTCCTACCTTTATCGTTTTCATGATTGTCTTCGGCATGTTTGCTCACTCTGGAGATTTCTGGAACATTCCCATGGGAACTGGCGCTGCTGAGATTGGCTCTGTCCTGTCATACGGTGCAACTGTCTATGGTTTCGCTACCGGATGGACCAGTTATGCCGCTGATTATACCGTTTATCAGCCTTCGGACCGCAGCCGCCGCAAGGTTTTCCTGGCTGCTTTTGGTGGCTTGATCCCTCCTCTCCTCTTCACTCAATTCTTGGGCATTGCTGTCGCTACTGCTGCCATGGTCAACGATGGAAACAACAAGTACGCAACTGGTTATGCGCAATCCGGAAACGGAGGCATCATCTGGGCTATCGTGGAACCTCTCGGCGGATTCGGCAAGTTCTGTCTGGTCATCCTCGCCCTCTCCATCATCGCCAACAACTGTCCCAACATTTACTCCGTCTCTCTCACTCTTCAGGTCCTGAGTCACCAGACTCAGAAAGTCCCTCGGTTCATCTGGGTGTTCCTGGCCTCATGCGTCTCCGTGGCCGTTGCTATCCCTGGATACTCCCACTTCGAGGAAGTTCTTGAGAACCTGATGGACTTCATCGCCTATTGGCTGGCCATCTACTCCGGTATTGCTATCGCCGACCACTTCATCGTTCGTCGTGGCTTCGGTGGATACCGCCCTGAGCACTACGACAAGCCCGAGAAGCTTCCCTACGGCTTCGCGGCTTGCATCTCTTTCGCCTTCGGCGTCGTCGGCATGGTCACCGGTATGAGTGAGACCTGGTTCGTTGGACCCATCGCCAAGCGCTCGCATGGCGGTGATATCGGTTTCGAACTGGCCATCTTGTTTTCGTTCGTCGTGCACGCTATCGTCAGACCTATCGAGCTGAAAAAGTTTGGTCGGTAAATGCGTGCAACTTTCTTACTGTCTTTTCATATACAACAATTTGGGAATGGGTTTTCTTGGGAATAGGTTATCGTCATTTTTGTTCATGTCTGTTAAGAGGAATCAGCTTGTCTATGGTGGTTCCCAAGTGGAACCAGACGGCTTCCGTCATGCTAGCTGGTATTTTGTACATAGATATTATTGTTGATTCTAATAACTCCCGTGCAGATGAGCCGGGATGTCGAATACGAATGAAGTCGTCATGAAAGTTCCTGCTCCGAGACTGAATTTACCTAATGTTGTTATCATTGTCTAGCAATGCCGTTCCTGACACATGATGTGTAGACACCGATTGCCGCTTTCCAACTCGGATTGCTGGGCGAAGCAAACCATCGTCGTAACCACTAAATCCTGGGTCAGCTACACTGAGTATGCTCCAGATCAGATTGAAGCTTGCGAATGGTAGAACATCAACGACGACTACTTGCCCGGTATGCCTCTTCCAGGCCGTGCAGAATGACTTGATATAGTGATCGATATTCGATGGTTTCTCCCGGTGCCTTTGACTCTACGACGAGCATGCAATTTGTCATTGTAGCTGGAACAGAGCCAGCATAGCCCATTATTCAGACAGTGCTAAATGCGAAGTATCTCAATCTGGCGATGGAGGCAACCCCAGAACATCTGTATAGAGATGCGTCGATGGTGGAGGGCTGTTCAGGGAGTTCGCAGTGGGCATGTCCCTATATACCACAACCACGGCAGATGTGTCGACGATTCAATATCTCTCCTGGTAAGACGAGGTCGTCAATTTTTTGGAGTTTTCATATATCACCCACCACGTACTTTTCCCTTCAAAGCTCGTCAGCTTTTGACACGTCTGCAACATTACTCTAGTATATCGTCGAGGCTGGCTGTAGTTGCTTCACCAGGACATGTCTATCTGAAATTGTAGCCAATCGCGACTAAATCAAGCTAAGAGATAACTCACAGTAGGAGCAGTCAAACTAAGGTTCAATTGTTCTAGAAAAGGAGTATCTTGTGTTGATTAACTCATACGATGGTTCGTATGCTTCCCCTCTCCAAGCGACATCTCTCACGTGACTATAGAGAAGCACCAGCCACGGCAGGCTGCGCCACGAGCAAATTGCCGCGCCGCGAACAAATCCACAACGGATTCATTCGCCTTTCATTGTGAAATCCAGCAAAACTAGCAACCCAAGTGGCATACACACCCCCTCCTTCTTCATCACACATACCACCCACAATGTCTAAGCTAGGAAAGTAAGCAACTTCGAAGCCCCCAGCCTCATTTTCGTCGACCGCAAATCGAAAATCTTCTTTCGATAAAACCCATTTATCTGACCATATTTTTTTTCTCTCCAGCCGCGCCGACTGGGCCGACGACGAGGAGTTTGACGACCCCTCCGCCCTCCCCGCACAGCAGATCACGACGAACAAAGATGGCACCAAGACCGTGGTCTCGTACCGCTTCAACGACGAAGGCAAGAAAGTGAAGGTCACCCGCCGCATCAAGACCACCGTGGTGCGGGAACACGTCAACCCCCAGGTCGCCGAGCGCCGCAGCTGGGCCAAGTTCGGCCTGGAGAAGGGCCACGCCCCCGGTCCGTCCTTCGACACCACCTCGGTCGGTGAGAACATCGCCTTCCGCCCCAGCATCAACTGGAAGATCCAGGCCCAGGAAGAGGAGAAGAACCCGGAGAAGGGCAGCATGAAGGACCAGCTCAAGGACAAGAAGGTCAAGTGCCGTATCTGCAGCGGCGAGCACTTCACCGCGCGCTGTCCCTTCAAGGACACCATGGCCCCCGTCGACGAGCCCGCCGGCGGTGCCGGTGGCGTCGAGGGCGGCGCCGACGAGGGGGCCGCCGCCGCCGGCGGCCTGGGCGCTACCTCCGGCAGCTACGTGCCTCCTCATCTACGAAAGGGTGCGGCCGGCGGCGGCGAGCGCATGGCTGGCAAGTTCGAGAAGGACGACCTGGCGACTTTGAGAGTTACGAACGTAAGTGTGTTTCTTGGTTTTGGCTCTACTACTCTTCCCCTCTGCCTCTCTCTTTCTGCGGGGCTGGGTGGGGAAAATTGTGTGTGGTGGTGTATGGTATAGTGTCTCAGTGTGTTGACGATGGGATGCATACACATACACACCTACTCACGCAATCCCCTAAGGGAGTTCTCACCTCCCGCGGAAGAGAAGAACCAGGAAAGGGGGGAGCTGTTCGCACCTCATTTCCAAACCCCCAAAACTAACAACTGCAATAGGTCAGCGAGTTGGCAGAGGAAGGCGAGTTGCGGGATCTGTTCGAACGCTTCGGTCGTGTTACCAGAGTCTTCTTGGCCAGAGACCGGGAGACCCAGAGAGCCAAGGGTTTCGCCTTCATCAGCTTCGCGGACCGCAGCGATGCTGCCCGTGCCTGCGAGAAAATGGATGGCTGTAAGCTTTTTCTTCTCCCCCCCCCAAAAACAACAAAAACTAACCCTTCTACTCTTCTACACAGTCGGTTACCGCCACCTTATTTTGCGCGTCGAGTTCGCCAAGCGGGCTACTTAGATTCCTTCTACCTCGTTGTTTCATCCTCCAAACTCTCGCACCATCCCCCTTTCAAACCCATTCCCATCTTATTTCCGGTTCACGACACCTTGGCCGCTTTCCGTCAAGAAGCGGGGTTCCTTCATGATGACTTCAAGGATCCCTCAACTACTACTTCTTTTTCTTTGTATTGTATGATCCGATCGATAATGATGAATACTGAAAAAGGATTCCAAAGTGTCGATTTTTCTCTGCTAAGCTTTCTTGCGTACATATATTCATATGTGTTGTTGTGCGCACATTTGGTCGAGGTCTTTACAAAAAGCAAGGGAAAGAAGAAAAAAAGCAAGCAGTTGTCTCTTTTTTCAGTCATTCTTCGTCCCAATCCTCCTCTTCTTCTCCGCTTTCTTGATATCTTTGCATGGTTTCATGTCATGGGGTTTGGTTTTGATAATCTCTTCCTTGTGACTGGTCATTTGGCTGGCTTCCTTGCTTGATGGCCCTCTTCCCCCCCGCTTAGCTTGGTTGAGTTTTCTTCCTCTTTCTTCCTTGGATGGTTCGAAGGAGGCGAGGTTTTGCTCTGCATTAAGAAAAGTGCTCTTTTTGACTGGGTTCTGAGACGAAATCACGTTGCATTCAGGGTTAGCGTGGGCTTGTAGGCATTTCCCAATGATAGAAAATCTGGTTCGACGTGGCCCTTATAATCATGTGGACGTAGTAGTAGACAGTCGCAAGCAGTGAAAGGGAGGGGGGGGGGGGGGGGGGGGGGGCCTTTTTTTTTGGAGGGGGGTGCGGGGGGGGGGGCGCCCAAGATATCTCTATCCCTTCTATCAACCTCCGCAAATGCCTCTCCGGCAGGACTGTTAGTCTTCGTAGATACATTCATTTCCCTCCTCCTCGGCCTCACCCCCGGTCCACTGCGCAGCAGTTGCTTATGGGACTTTGTCCGATAAGTTATTTTACATCATTGCCAACTGTTCTTCCACTACGCCCATGAAGAACTCCGAAAAGGACCCGTGGACGGGGCCAGAAAGGGGGAGGGGGAGGGGCGATTCTAGCCCAGTAATCGGTCAGAAGGGCCGGGAGAATGTTTATAGGCCCAGACAGTCAGAAGAGGTGGCGGATGGGCGCTGACAGGCTGCGGCGAACAGACTATTGAAGTCAGTGTGTCAAGGATATGCTTGCCGTATACAAGCTTCAGTCAGGCTGAGAAATGGCCTGCGGGTTAGGTCGGATGGCAAAGGAGGATCAATAATACTCAGGAGCTTCTGAGATTAGCGCTGCCCCTCCCCCATCTGCTTCAAGCACGCCAACCCGCTAAGTCTCTGCAAGAATCCCTTGTAATCACAGCTCTCTGGTAGATGCCGCAGGATAAGGCGCTCCTCAGTGGCAAGATCGGGGTTATGCCACGTCTGAATTGGTGGATCTTCACGCCCAGGAGTGTAAGCATGACCAGACGAACAAGTATCATTATCAGTGCATGATGACCTCCGCCTAAGCCGTCTGCCACTCAGATAAGCCAATGCCTTTTTTTCAGGGCGTGGCGTCGTGCCTAATCAGCATGATGGAGATGTATAGAATCTACCTTCGCAATTGCACCAATGGCTATGGCTCGGAAGGTATGTGGATGGTGTGCTGACTCCGTTCGACATTGGTTACATTGCATGGACACGGTGTTGGATAGCTCTGTCAACAATGGTCTTGTGTATCGCCCTGCGAGTGATTCCGTCAACTGTTGTCATGCTCTCCTCCTGAGCACCATTGCGAGCTCCCATCTGTGTCACCCACGAGAGACAACTGAGCTGGCGCTGACCATTCACTGGAAGAGCCGATTCCCCACGGGATTCAGCATATCCTTCTCGCCAAATGGGCGCCTTGCACGCCACTCTCATCAACGTCACCTACGCCAGCCTTACTCAATCAAGTATAACGACCGTCCTATCCGGTTCGACTCGGTCGAAGAAGCAGATCCCATGGCTGAGGGCCAGCAGGCATCATACCTTCTCGGCTTTTTTCTGGTTCGTATTCCCTCGAGCAAATGTCTCGAAGGCGTCGATCAGCGTCGGTCCTATGGCCCTGTTCGTTGCTGCTGAGACTCCAAGGCTATACTCTACCGCTCGAGCGTCCGATCGGATTGAGTGGATGGGCGTGATAGGGTGAATTCCCCGGCCAAACCTGGCGTCTCCTGCAGGATTTCCAATTATGGGCCGGCACTTAGAGTTGGTGCTCGCGTTGACCTCGAAAGACAGTCTTCTCTGTGAGCGTAAAAAAAAGACCCAGACTAACATTTCCAGGCAGCAATTGATCCTGATCCCGTCGAGTCACACAAACAAGCCAGATTTGATAGCAACCCGACCAACGAAGACAGCTATGAGGAATAAGGAATAACAGCACCAACTTGGGTTTCCGGTACAAATGCCGAATTACCTTGACAGGGTATTAGCCGCAGCATCGTCAGATATGAGAAGAACGATTCGGATCAAAGAGGTTTGCCAGGAAATGCCAGGAGTAGGGACACGGCCAGGACAGAGCTGTAAAAAAGGGGTTTGTCTACATGCCTTGGCTCCAGATGCGCGACATCCAAGAATGAGCAATAGTGACCTGATTCCTTTGAATTGTTTCTAGAGATCAGTAGCATGGACGCAAGGACACCCGATTGTGCTGAGGTCGCTATGTAATTTAGCTCTTCAGTTGAACCGGGCAAATCACAAGCGGACCGGGAAGAACCGGTTTACCCTCGGACCCGACGCACTCGAAGAAACCAACGATGCTCCTGCCTAGAACACGCGCGGTAGTAGTAACTGTGCGTCCGTCACGGTAAATTTCCTCTGGTAATGCTCAACCGCAGATCAGCTCGACCACTGAAGAAAGCTGCTACAGCTTGAATTGAGCTATAGAACCGGATACTCTCGGAAGGCTACATCTGCCAGAACCGGCTGCCCGGTAAGAATGATCCGAAGAAGGGCTAATATGCAGAGTGATGATTGTAATCCGCATAACAGCTCAGGTAATAGAGCAGGATCCTGTCAAGGATTCATTCAATTGTAAAGTTTATCGAGGATCCCGGAGATTAAAGCCGAATGTTCTGGACTCGCCTCAGGTGCAGCTGCTTCGAACAGCAAGACGACGGCCTAGCGGGGCTTTTTTGATAGTCCAAACCGTAATATCGGCCGTCTGCAGCCCAAAACATGTCAGGACAGGCTTCTTTGCCCCAGCCTGGATTCGAAAATTTACTGTAATTATCCTGTGGTTGCACAGGAGGCTGCATCGGGAACGTATCAGCCACTAGCACGGGTAAAAGTCAGCAGGCAAAGGAATGGATCGCGCTCTAATTGTGAAGGAACAGAGCAGTGCATTGGTCGGAAAGGCACCAGTGGGCGTAATTTGGTAGCGATGCTACTTCTGAGACAGGTCCAACACAATCCCACCTAGGTTAGAGAGCTGGGCCTTCAATAGAGCCTTGTTCGAACCTTAAAGTAGAGACGGCCATGAATGAACGGACCGCGTCCTCTATCCAAGTATTTCGGGACTGGACTCCAGTCGAACAAGAGAAAAGAGAACGAACAAAAGCCTTGAAAGACGGTATGTTATGTCCATCGGCCAACGTAATGATGACTCCGTTGGGACTGGCCTTTCTGATCCGCGAGCTGGTGCACTGGAAATTAGCTAGGAGCCCATGAAGTCTTGACCAAGTACTCCGTAATTGGAACAAATGCGAAGTTTTTAAGGTTTGTTGCTTAGGTAGACACAGCCCTGTCAGCCATACTCTTGGTAAAGTACGGAGTAGCAGAGGAAGGAGATGTTCGGGGCGTCGTCGGTACCCGGCTTTTGTTCTATCGTTCCATCGTTACCAGGATCAACAGAGATCAATTCCTGCTCTGATAAAGAAAGATGACACCGCACTGGCGCTGACTTTCATGATCAGCCATAAAAGAGGAAAAATGGTGGAGGAGACGGACGACCGAATCGGTTGTTGGTCGTTGGTGCAATAATAACAATCAATGGTTGTAACTGAGAAGGTACCCGCCGACATGACGCTAATCCCTTTCCAGCAATATCCTGCACGTGCCATGATCCCTCCCGGCACTAAGAGGATTTGCCCATGGCCCAGTCACCCAGTAGTTGGTTGATTGAATTAATTGATAGACTAAAGTACGGCTGGGACTACTCAGTAACTTCCAGTTAGTACGGTCGGTCCCTATACATCCATCTCCAGTGTAATGTGATTGTGCCGGGTTCGGTTTAGCCTCCCACAACTGTTCAGTTCTTGCTTTTATATCCGCGATCAGGATTATGGAAAATGCATCCCTGCAATCACCAGGTCCAATTGTTTGTCCTGAAGATCTCAGTGGATTTGTAGATGGGCATTGGCAGAGTTCTCGATTTCTCTCTATTAGTAGAGAGATCTCATTCTCATTCTGAGACGCGCGTGAGATCATACCCGTATCTCCTTTCAACCATGGATCCATCGATAGATCATTATTTCAATCAGCGGGCCCAGCCCTTTAAGTCAGTTTTAACCCTGGCTTGAAATGCAACGTCCTTCACGTCCCAGTATTGTCTTGAGTCCTTGACTCTCGACCCCCCTACCCCCACCCCCTGGTCAAGGTTACTATGGGAATCGCGCCGCATCCCGCGGGCACATCCTGCACGACATCCATCCTCCACTAGTGACTGACTCTGTACCCAGAATTTACAGTCCTTCAATGACTGGCTTCGAGGGGAAAATCTCACTCGGACACTACCAATGATTTCTTCTTGGCGGCTTATTTCAGCACCGTGCATATCACATCTGGACCAACTAGCTTCCTGCAGGCCTGGCCGATCATCCAGCCACAGAAAACCTCTCCCATTAGGAGGAAAGAGGGGGAACGCGAGAGAGGGGAAGAAATAAGAAAACATTGACCAAAATATCCAGATGGGGAAAAAAAAAAAGAAAAAGCCTCCCACTCCCGCAAACCTCATTCCTTTCCAGATCCAGTGAAGTCACTTAGGCTGTCTTACCTGGCAGTGGGCCTAATCGATTCTGGAAAACATGCTGTGCGCAGCACATGTACGCTCCACACCGAGAATCGGTAAGACTGGAAAGGGGTCGTTGTCGCTGAAGTGCATGCGATTCGGTCGAAATATCCACACGAATCAAAAGAGGCATATTAACCATGCCAATGCAGTTTATACAGGCTGCATATCTGAAGTCATGGCTCTCTCAGGCTATGTCGGTGAGCGGACAACCACCACGGGGTTAGGGTATTCAAAATCGACCGTTGGATCGAAATCTGACGATCGCCCTCTATTCATGCAAGAATCGCTGTTGCTCGTGCCATGAGAATATTCGAAGATTGCGAGGGAAGTAATCGTAAAGAGGCGGCATCTCTTGAACATGGCTTCTTTTTTTTCCCCCTTGGGATCATCTACCTGGCACGGTATGGCTAGATGGCGCACATCGACCCTTCGTCGTCGACCATAAGAGCTATTGGCTAACTGCATCTGCCCAAGCTCAGTAGTATTATCGGCAATCCCCATCATGGGACTGGGGTCTGCACGGATTCCCGGGGCAATGATCGCCGCGAATCGGTTCTAGTACCATCTTATTCGGTCTTGCTGCACTCTGCCGTTCGTCGGGTGTTCACACACTAGGACAGCTGACTTCAACAGTAATGTTCTGTATGGAGTATAGAACAATTCACCAATCAAGCTGCCAGTCGAACTATGTTGAAGTTGGAGTTCATTCCATACTGAGTTTGTGCAGCGCTAAGTTTGTCTGGACTTGGGTCAGAGAGATGTCACATGGAAGCTGGCCAATGTTGTGTGTCTCCAACGGTTTTTGACAGGGTCCAGCTTTTTTTCTGCCTTTTTCTTTTGCGTTTTTTAATCTTTCCTGCACTAGTTGGGATGAGACGTCAATCTTTCCCTTGAAGGTCGTTGCTCTGTTTCTGGTTGAGGGGTTTACTTTCTTTCCTTTTTCGTCCTTGAGTCGAAAAAGAAAAGAAATCGATGCGCATCAATTTGCGGATGAGAACGTGTCGAAGAGAGGGAAGTTCAGATTTGAGGGCACACGCGTCGCAAGACAGACAGACAGGCAGCATCAACAGAGAACAAGCCAGAGGAGTAAGATCAGCATTGAACAGCACAAGGCTTTTATCTCTCAACCTGCACACCAGGAAGACATAAGCTTCTCCTCAAAGACTAGGTGTACCATTGTAATCCACTGTTCTTTATTCTTGATCCACGCAACAGTGAAGTTGGAACAAGGAAACTTTTTGGCCCTGGCATGGTCTAGCTCAACAGCAAACTCGTGGCGAGGGTGGTATTTGTTCTCAAGCTTAAATGGGTAACCTGGAGCTTCAGGGCTTGTGCACAACGATCCTCTGCAGACCATTTCCGCCGCACATCTACCAGGGTCGCTCATTGGGTGCCGTGAAGGGGTCAGCCTAGGTAGACAACGGTGATTGAGTGCGCGTCTTGAGGGTGTGGACAGGAGGAGGAACCGTGAGCAAAGCATCTTCATCCAACATCCAAAAACCCATATCAAGCGAGCAGATCCCTCGCAACTACTATCAGTGCAGCCCTGCCCTTTCCTCTGAATTATTCGGCACTGGAAAACGGTCTCAACAAACCTCGACCTTCCGAGCCCTGCGTCAGGTCTTCTATTTAATCTCCCGAGGAGCAGGACTCTATTGTCTCCAACAGCCGACCTCTTGACGTGGACTACCGACTTTTTGAGACAACCGATCTACATATACATAGGGTTGCAGCTGAGAATGAAAGCCTGCATCAACTGATGCAAGATACTCTCCCTTTGCTGAGCTGAGCGCATTCCAGTAAGTCCCATCATCTCTGTTTTCCTGTTCTCTCGCATTGGGAGTCTCCGCGCCTCTTGTCTTCCCCCTCTCGTTTTCCTCCTTAGGAGTTCGGCCTTGAAACTACGCTTCCCTTCGGAGCCGAGACAATGTCATTCCTGGTGATGCTTCTCAAGGCCATGACTCATGTCATGGAGATGTCACTGGCTGCATGAAACCTGCAAGCTTTGGTGTCTTGGAAGACTTTCGTCAAGACCTGCTGGACATCTGCAGCGCGATGGCTAGCAACAGGGCTGTATTGGCTCCGTTCATGGTCCACGTCAATATTCCTGTACCGTTCATAAACTTGCCAAAGGACTCCATGTCTTCTTAGTCACTGTCCTCGAGGGCATGTGTGATGCTGCTTTCATGTTTTCTTTTCTTTTTTCTCTTCTTCTTCCTATCCATGCTGTTTATTGCTTTCAGCTCTTCCGAGCCCATTTCCTTTCCACTGGTCTGCTGCTGTTATTTCACAAACACAACCCCCCTTCATTTTATATCTCTTTGCAGGAAATTCAAACGACAGGCCTGCTTGATGGGTCTGGTCGTTTTCTTCGAGATTTCATTGCTCTATGCTTTCAGTTTCTCTAGCAAGTGTCCCTAATAGATTAACTTAGCGCTGCTGCCTTGAAGCTAGGATCCTATTGCTCGACCAGGACGCTGAAGGCGGACAATACCTCCGGGTAAGAGCGACGACCTGTTCCAAACCGCGCGGTTGCAAGCCTTACGGGCAGGCCTCACTGACAGCGTCTATTAGTTAGGCTCTCACGGCTTAAGCATACCCTGTTTAGTGTCATCCAGGCCTAGT